GTGTGTGTGTGGGTGTGTGTATGAACTGTAATGTCAAGATATGAAGAAGTGGGCTACAGAAAGTCATGGTATTGTAACAATATGTGGAATGCTACATGATATTTGTAATTATGGTACTTACAGTCTTAATTACGGTAAACGTTGTAAAGTGTGAAGATAGTTATAGTAGTGTCAAAAGTGTAAATAGAAAAATATTTATCTAAGTTACAATCAACAAGATGTATAAAAAGGTATTTAGTATTCAAGTTAAAAGTCGACAAATGAGTAGATGAATTAGACTTGAATTTAGTTGTAAGGAGGAATATTATTGTAGAGGATAAGAACATTTTATATGCCAGAATTTGAGGACAATTATGATAAACACCAAGCAGGCTGAGTTCACCCCAAGCAGTGTGCTTATATTTAGAAAATATGTATATTTTATTTTATTTGACAGGTATTGTAGTTTGAAAAAAATAATGTGGATTGTTTTTAGAATTAGATTTGTCATAATTGGAGGCATTTTTTCATGTAAAAAATTAACATTAAATGGAAACATTTTATTATTTTTGAGGTAATCAGTACAGTGACGTATCGATTCATAATATGTTTGTGGTAGAACGTGAAAGTAAAAATTAAAAAGTATGATATTTAAAAAAAAAACAACTTGTGATGATTGCTCAGTTAAAACAAGATAATGGTCTAACAAATCATATTCACAATGCTCTACAAGCAATAACAGAAGATAACAATTCAGTCAAATACGGTAATTTCCAGTAGTTCACTATTAATATGCGTTAACTATTAATTGTTTAATATAGAACAGCAAACCTGTGCGAGTCGATTGGCCGATCGGTTAAGAGAGGGAACCTTGACATACAGCCATAATATCGGCGCTGGTGGTTCGAACTGCATGCTCGCCTATGGTTCCGGTGGTGGAACAAGTCTTCTCGGATAAGGACCATACACCGTAGGTCCAGTGTACACAATTTCTTGTGTGCACTTTAAAGAACACAGTACATCATTCGAGAAGAGTAGGGGGTTATCCCCGGTGTACTGGTCCATTTCCCGTCCCCTGTCCGGCCACAGAAGGAGCGTTACGTCGCGGCCCATGTCAGTATCTATCCTACCTGCGAATTCTTCTACCACACTACGTAAGCAAGATCATACACACTAACTACGTAGTGACTCGATAAGAAGAAGAAGCACTCCAGTAGCCCTATTTTAATATATTTTATTATGTATTTGTCAGTGAAACTTAAACTGGGAAAATACATAATAGCATATGCAAAAAATGAGTATTCTTTTATCATTATCAATTGGATCGCACAGCCTCATTAAAATTTTAAGCCTATTACAAAATCATAAGGCTCTATTACACTGTCACACTGTACTATTAGTGACCATTTTGGCGTCAAGAACCGGAGTATATTGAACACATGTTGGCATGATACAATGTGCGTTAAATTGCAGTCACATTCATTCATATTTTGCATTTTATTATTTTTGTTTAAATGTATAATGTAAGGTCTATGGTCTATTGGATAAATCAGCATAAGAGATATAAATAGTATTAAAGTGCATTATAATAACTGATGATTAGCAACAGAATATGCATAGGCCCCATATTATTTAATTTAAATTGTTCTTTGAAAACAATACTAGGACTTTCTTCCGCATCATGTCATACGATAGCAAACAAGATTCAGCTTTAACGCTGTGCAGTTTACCGAACATATTTATTTATCAAAATAATTACATCACAAAACAAATGTTGCAGTATATGCTGAATTTTAAGACTGAATATTTATATACAAAATATAAAACCCCTAACAACTTAACAAGAACGGGGTTCTAATAATCTAATCAAAAACTGAACACCTTTAAACTCAATGGAGCCTGACTGACCGACAGATGGATATATTGACAGTCCGACCAACACTGCAAACAGCTGATGCATTGGACAAAAAGTTAAGTCAGTGATGTACTGTATATATTGTACTATATGATTCATGTTCTTTAGGGACATGGGGAGTGGGGAAGCGCGCTTAAGATAATATTATTCGCTCGAGTACGGTGTGTTACTGTTGAGCTTGGTTACAATTCTTACAAATATGATGCAAATTATCCTGTGCTGTTAGCCATTACTTCACTGTTTCGTTTACCATTTAAATTTCGGTTTGCTCTTTAAATAGGGATTGGTCGTAGTGTAAAACTATATTTCCCAGGTTTACCCAGGTGCGACCGAACGGAGTGAATTCTACTAGCAACAACATCTAATGCTGCGTGTCGTCGGGGACAACTTTGCCCACCTAGTTAACTAGTATATATACTGGTATCTATTCAGAAAGAATCCTTAAAAACAAGACATGGCAGCCAAAAGGCTGAATTGAGAATTACGTTTACAATATAAACTAACAAAATGTATTATCCTTCTTTGGGTCTTTGTCAGTGTGAAAAGAGATGCGAATCAAATTACTCCAATAGCTGATGGGAAATTATGCCAAATTTTAAAATTTCAATAAGCACTCATCGCCACCATCCCTACCCCTTCCCGCTGCCTAAATTGAAAGAAACATAATTCTCAATACTATTCTGACCAGTGATGCCACCAGGATCGACGGGAGGTATGCAGTGGCATATCTGGGGAAGTGCGCGAAGAGGGGGGGAGGGGGGAGGAGCAGAATACTTCCCTTCCCCCTCCCAGAAAAAAAAACAAAAGACAAATCACAGTCACAGAGTAAAAAAAAAATCACCTCAAATCACCTTATTTTGCAACCTGGCGCTCCCACCAACCATCGGTCGGATCCCCCATCCACACTTTACTTTCCCCGCCCCATTCCAAGGCTCCTAGATAGACATGGAGGTCGGAGGATAGGAAGAGGAAGGCTGATTGTTCCGAAATGGAGAAAGTGAAAAGTTAATGGCATTCCAGAGCCCTCACAGGGATCCAGAAACGCCAGATTCCCCGACGAGGGTTCAAAAAGCATTTTTTTTCTCCACCACTTATTTTGTCTCTTGGGCCGCACGAAACACCGAGCCAGCCACACTGCTGATCTTGTTCTTGTTTTTGGGGTCTACATAGAGTGAAATAATACATAGGCCTAGTTAGTCTTATTTTAGCGGTAGTGATTAGGCCGTCCGTAATCACGGAAGGAAATGAAAACAATTCAATACTACCAGTATTACAATACTGTGCTTAGTCTGGATTTTCCAATCTAATCCCATGAACAAACTTACTGGAAGAGAAAATGGGCCTACTAAATTGAAATTACAACTTATATTACAACATAACTGCTGAAGTTAAGATTTATTTCTTTCTAATGTTTCACATTTTTTAATTGCTGGCTATATTACACAAAAAGAGAAGGAGAGAATGTTGAATATTTAATTAAATTAAATAAATAGGCATATTAACTTCCCAATGTCTATTGCAATTTGTATTGTATAAAGTAATGTATTAAATAACAATTAGGCCTATTCTTTAGTAGCCCAGGGCCCGGACATTCTACATAGGCCTAAAGGCCTAGACAGTGGCTAATCTGGGATACATTTTCTGGTGGTGGGGTGGGGGGTTAAGCTGTCCAACAGGTGGCTTGAGCTTGTATTCCTGAGGAGGGGAAGGGTTTGGGAGATGATACTTTTCTAAAAATAGGGAGCTCTGGATGGCCGGAAATGGCACGTAGCAGTGTGAAAGACATAGTTTGGCTTGGTGTGTAGGCCTATATTTAATTTTTTTTTTTTGGTACGACTGCTCGACGAGCTCGGCCGGGTGAAGGGGTCTTGATTTGTCCGATGGGGGTGGGGGGCCTAGCCACTGCTAGACAGACTGCTGCGGGTTGCTGAAACATATAGAGCGCTCTGATTGGCTAATGATAAAATAAAATCATCGCACAAGTTGGCACAAGAGTCAACCAACTCGCACTCGAATACGGATACGGTGCCAGTGAGAGTGATCCTAAGAAAGTATACCGGTTTGATTCACCGATTGCAGA